TCATAATCTATAATATTATAATAATTGTTATACCGAATTAAATAGCATAAAAGTATACTAAAGATAAATTCATTTATTAATATATTTTATATTAAATATGTTATTTCATGAATATATTGATCTAATTAATAAACAAATGTAAATTTCTCAAAATAAATATATATTAAGAAGAGACAAATACATGTGACGGTTTAAAACAATTGATTAAATATAACATATAAAATTATTATATTTGAAATTAAAAACCTTTAAACATATGCATATTGTTAATATATATATATATAACAAAAAAATATAAAATATATAAATGAAATTAAACACCCATACGGTTGCACGGGTTGAAATTTAGTTATTATTATTATTATTCATTTCATTATATCTAACTTTTTATTATTAGCTAACATTAATCTTTATTTTTTTAGAAAAACGTCCCTAAGAAAAATGGACGTAGATTGGGGATCGGTTCCGTTAACGATGTCCCAAGATCGACATCGGCTTATGCTCAGTGACAAGAAGATGAGACTACTCAGTTGTGTTCAACTCGCGTTCTGATTTGAGCACAACGCAAGCTCAAATGAGATCACTCGAGGATTTCCTGGACGTTTTAGTGGCTGGAAATATGCAATTGGAGATGATGTTAGCAGCGAGACAGAGACAATTGGGCATTCCAGACCCCAACCGCTAGGACGAGATGGACATAAGAAATGACGACTCCGAGAAACCGCCACTCCTAGTTTTATTTATTTATTTTTGTTGTAATATAAATATTTTTTTGACATCTGTTGTAATATAAATTTAAAATTTAAAATTTAAATATTTATAAAATATTTTTGTTTTCTTCTATTATTTTAATTTTATTTTTAATAATAATTTATTTTTATATTTTATTTTTAATTATTTATCAAATCAGAAAAAATAAGTTTCCAAGTAAATTCATTGTTACATTTTCGTAGAATTAACTACGAAACTTAGCGTGGACTTTGCGAAGATATGTTTACGTGTGAATAACGACAAAACTTAACTAAAACTTTACGAAGAAATGTTTGTGTGCTTTTAAGGAGGAAACATTTAGCATGTATATTACGTGGAATATGTAGCGTGTCTTTTACAAGGAAACATAAGCCTGACTTTACGAGGAAACATTTCCTCGTCAAGTTACGAGTTTTTAACGAGGAAATATGCGTTACGAGAATCGTGTCACGATGTTTTCCGTTTCGTAGTTATTTCCTAGTAAAGCCTCATTTACGAGGAAATAACTACAAAAACGGCTTTCGCTATATATTAGTTTTCTTGTAGTGGTACATGTAATATTTTTCAAAAAATTGGGATTCAAAGCTAATGTTTCATTGGACTTGGCCCAAGGCCGGCCCTAGTGTGGACCTTCAATAAATCTTGAAGATTCACTGCAAATCGGCTTATTGGCTAGCTGGCAAAGGTCAAAGAGGCCTTCTCTGAGGCTCTAGCGCTTCCATCCATTAACCCTCTTAAAGAGTTGGTCTGGAACACGATCACAGCTCCAAAAATTAAATTCCCCTGGAAACTCTTGAGTGATGCAGTGCATGTGGCAGACCTTATCAAAGCGAGAGGTATGAAGATCGACGAGAGGTGCCAAAGGTGTGGATTTGACGGTTTGTCGATCAATCACATGGTGTTTACTCTCTCCAGAATCGGGGATCCCCTGTCCCCTTAATGGTTTTCATGAGTCATCTATATTCCAAAATCTGGCCTATCTCATGCCAATCAATAAAACTTGGTTTGGTGAGAAAGAGCGTAAGTGTGCCTGGCCGTGGTTTGTTTAGAACATATGGAAGAGCAGAAACAATCTCTTGTTCAAAGGAATCAGCTGGTCAGCAAAGGAAATTGTGAGGAAGGGCTTTCATGACTCTGGAGAATTGTTTCTGGCTCAAACTGTAGAAGAGGAGATGCTCCAGGAAGAAGTTAAAGCCTCGAAGGTTAACAATACTAAATGGAAACCTCAACCAAAAGGTTGGTTATGTGCAATATCGCGTGGGAATGAAACAAAAGCAACGGAGACTTGAGAGTTGCGTGGTTGTAAGGAATGATAAAAGGGTGGTTTTGTTTCATAGTAAAAGATCCTTTGCAACAGTCCCAAATAAAGAAGAAGCCTAGCTTAAAACTATTATATGGGCTGTTGAGAGCATGGTTAGTCTATGCCTCAACAAGATTGTGTTTGCAGGGAAATTTGAGGAAGAATTTTGGGTGGTAACGAAACCATCAGCATGGCTTTTCTACGTCTTCCAAGGGTTTGAGCTAGGGAATCTGCTGAAAGAGATGACTGATTTTCAACTATTGGTCGTTTCTAAGAATGCTAATAGAAGAGCATCCTTCATTTCTCAAAGTGTAATAAGAGAGGAACAGCATCACTCTTACATTGCTTCGGGTCCTTTTTTGGCTCTTTGAATGGTTCGTGAATGAGAGCCGACTCATTTGATGAGTGATATTCGAGTTTGTTTTGTGGGATACATGTTTTGCTATTTTCTGGTAGGTAGTTGGGTTTCTTTAAAGGATGGAGAATGGTGTTTCTCCTCTTTTAAATTTATACTAAATTACTCATTTTTATCTTAATTTTAGTTTAGTGTTAAAAAAAAAAAATATATATATATATATATATAATTTAAGATTTTTTTTACTTCCCAGGACTCTTTTCATCTTATTATTTACACAATAAGACATTTCATACTGGTTACACACTTTATCTATGTTTATTGTCTTTCATACACTCAATATTGACCACACCAAACTAATCCAACCAGAGACAACTAACCATGATTTGCTTATTTTAATAATAAAATATTTTTCATCCTGTCGAAAATAACAAAACACCTAAAATCTCCATTTTCACTTTTCTAAATCTTCAACCCTAATTTCGAGGAAAACAAGTTTGGTAATAACCTCTGTTTGAAAACACGGCCGTAGAGGCCGGTTAATCGTCGCCGGAGCACTAGGTGGAAACTTTCCGTAGCGATTTCACGCTATTCGGCCAAAAAATCGGTTTTAAAAAAAATTGTTTTGAAAGTTTTAGATCAAATAATGAAGAACATATCAAGGGATTCATTGTTAAACAACACGAAAAACTCATAGCTAAGTTTATTTTGACAAGTTTATTGTTGACGGCGGTAAAAGAAAGTTAAACCACTAAACTTTCATGGGGGAAGATGACGAAATATTCACAATAGTGCCATTTATTTTTAAAAAAAGAAAAATAAAATTAAGGCATGATCACACGTTTCGAACCATGACGTTTTTGGCTCGCTATGACATTTGCACATTTGATCAATTTTGAATTTGCCTCTGAACTTTTCAAATAATCAGATTTTTCTTTAAATTAGTCCTAAACTTTATAAGTATACACTTCAGTCTTGCTTTATGTTCCTCACATACAAAAAAATCAAATCAAAATCAATGTATTTTCTGTCCATATTTTTATATAATGTATGCTTTTTAAATCTTAATATTAAAGATCTACTAATCTTCAATATGTACAAATAAAATGTGGATATGAGTTTTGTTGATTTAAGAGATGTGGATAAAAGGGTTATGTTCAATATCAATTTGGAGATAGATTTAATATATAATTCATTATTGTAAAATAAAATTTATTAGTCTTATATTTTATGGACACTGAAATGTAGTATATTTTGTGGACATCGAAACTATAGATACAAATTTTGTGAAAAAAGTAAAACAATTTTGATTGTGTGTTCATTAAACATGAAACAAAAGTTTAATAAAATAAACTTTTTTATAATATATTATCTATTATAATTTGTCCACAAAATTAAATTCATGTATACTATCTATCATAACTTGAATATAAGAGAGTTTTTATTTTTTCAGCCATTCATGTTCCCATTTTTTTATATTCATGTATTTTTCGTACATAAACACTTTTTTCTGTTCACATTTTCATGTCTATAATTTTTTATACAATATTGTTAAAATATATATATGTAAGTGGATCTTAAAATATAAAGAAAATAATTTACAATCTATTTTAATACTTGTATTTGTTTTATATATTTTAAATTTTGTAAAACATCAACCTTAATGACTCTTCCCATAAAATATAATGTGTCCCCATAAAAGAGATAATATTTTTAAATAAAAAATTAACCTGACGACAAGGAAAACAAAAAAGTAACATCCCTCCGGTTAGAAGTGTCTTAGAGCATGTACATCAATGAACCCCTCTTGGGATTCATCTTTCTAATATTTTATTATTATTTTTTTTTTGTTAAATTTTTTAAAAATAAAAAATAAAAAAAAATTAATTCAACCAATCCCCTTCCGACACATGGTGAACTCCACTCTCTTGGGGTTCACCGGGATGAACTTTTGGAGAGAGAAGTTCATCACTGTTCATCTAGAAAACTGTGTGAACATCCTTATAAACTCCTTAGAGCATCATCATCGCTGCCTCTTATGGCAGCTCTAAGGTGATGGGGCCCAGTTTTTTTTTAAAACTTCTCTTCTTTCTTCTTCCGTAAGAGACAACTCTTGTGCCAATTCGCGTCCCCACGACACGTGGCGGCCCACGATTGGTGCTTTTTTTTTATATTTTTTTAATCTGACAAAAGTAAAAAAAAAAAAAAAAGATAAAAAGATTAAAAAAAAGAAATCCTAAGAGTGCTCTAAGCGATGAGGATGCTCTTATGAACCCTCAATGCACATGCTCTTAGCATGATAAAAAAAGAGTAGCATGATAAAAAAAGAGAAGAAAGTGTCTCGAAAAGTAACGCACTCTTAATTTAACTAACGCTTACAATCAACACGTGCGAGAACACCAACCTGACGACAAGGAAAACAAAAAATAGAAACGACGGCCCAGGAAAAGCCCAATAAAATTTCGAAAACATAAAAAAAATCACGTTTCAAAAATGGACGGCTGATGTTAAACAAAAGTTTCATCTTGTTGACTGGTTACAAAAGTTTCCAACTGCGTATTTATAAAGCGGATTGATTCGCTTCTTTCTCTCAACATTCCATTTCCTAAAAAAAGAACAGATCAATACGAAGAAAGCGAATCTAGGGTTTTCATAATCTCAACGAAGATGGCGATGCAGAAGGCTAAAGAGATCGTTTCCACCAACGCCGTCGTTGTTTTCAGGTCCATCTCTTTTCAAATTCTCCGTTTTCTCTGTATCTATGTTGTATGGTTGTTTATTGTTTATCTTCGAATCGGATTCTATGCTTCTGTGAATGGCTTGGATTTTGTGTGCATGTTTACATGGTAAAAGACATATGATTAAGTATATAGCATCCATGGATGTATGTAGACGGTTTTGTGTACCAAATGTGAGTCTGTGTTTTGGGTGATCTGATGGGTTTTGTAATTGCAGCAAGTCGTATTGTCCATTCTGTGTGAAAGTGAAGGAGCTTTTGCAACAGTTGGGAGCTAAATTCATCGCCATTGAGCTCGACAAAGAGAGTAATATTCCTCAACTATCCTCATTTCGTTTGTTTGTTCTGATTTTGTTCTCTTGTCCTGTATTTTGGGATTCGAATTTTGGTTTTTGTTTGATCTGAGTGTATGTTTCGTTCATGAATCAAATATTCCTCTGTTTTAATTGTTTTCAGAAAATAGTGGTTGGTTCTTTCTCTGGCATGTTTTCTTTTGAGATTCGTCTTTAGGTTTGATCCATGTATATATTTTGTTCTTTAATGTTTCTCTGACATCCAAGTTTAGTTTTTTTTTGATCCTTTGTATATATTTCCTTAGCAGCCCTTCACGGAAATATTCTCTGTTTCGCCTGTGAGATATTCGTCTTAGTTATTGATCCAGTTTTTGTTTCGTGAATCCACTGCTGTGGAATGTTTTTCTGCTTTCTTTTACAGTTTAGGTTTTTGTTTTGTTCATGATTGCGTCATCTAAGGTTTCATGGTTTTTTTCATGAGCCTATCATAAAAAGTTTCTTGGTTTTGCCTCAAAGAGACTTTTTATTTTTTAATGTTATTGATCAATGGATAGGCTTTGTTTAAATACAGTTTTACCATCTCTAATTAGTGTTTCAGATCAAGTTTGTTCTCTGATTTTTCTCCTTCAAGTATAGATTTTGTTCATGAACACCAACTCTAGAATGTTTCTCTGCTTTTTCTTTGGAGATTCAAGCTTAGTTTTTTTTTTTCTGATCCTTGTATGTGTTCTGCCCATGAGCTCATCATTCAAAATTTTATTCAGTTTTCTCTAAAGATTCGATTTAGTTTTTTTTTAATCGAGTATACGTTTCTGGAACCATAACACTCAGTGAGTATATTACATTTAATTCAGACTCACCAGAGAATTCCAAGACTCAAGCTTTGTTCATTGCTGTTTCGTTATTATTCAGGTGATGGTAGCCAAGTTCAATCGGCTCTTGCAGAATGGACAGGACAACGCACCGTTCCCAATGTGTTTATAGGTGAAAAACACATCGGTGGCTGCGACGGTAAGAGAACTAGATCACACAACTCTCTTTTGATTTATTTAAAAAGGATTATTATGAATTTTCCTTCTGTTTTTCCCCTAAACCAAATATTGTGATGTTGTTTGTTTTGTAGCTGTAACCAAACTCCACAGTGACGGTAAGTTGGTTCCTCTGTTGACTGAAGCTGGAGCTATCGCTGCAAAAACGGGATCTACTTCTGCTTAAAAGATCACATCATCCATTTTGTGATTTGCTTCTACCAGGAATAAAAGAGAACAAGTTTCAGGAATAAATGTCAACTTTGTCTGAAATGTTTTAAAGTTGTGGCTATGTCGAAGTCGGTATTTTGAACTTCTGATACATTTACGTTATAATAATCTTCTGAATTTGCTAGTAATTTAATAGTATCTCGTATCATTTTGATTGGAAACGATTGAATTAAACTCTGAGTAAACTCTTGATTGTTCAATACGCAATTATTGTGTGGCGGTTGCAGTTACTATAGTGTTAATCCGTAAAGAAATTGCCTAAATCCTGAAAAAGCTATTAGAGCACCATTAACGGTGACTCTTAGCCCAACTCTTACCCCCTAAACCGAATTAAAAACATTAAAAGAAAAAAGTGGCCCAGAACTCGCCTCTTGCGGGAGAGCCAGAAGAGGCGCCTCTTCGTGGCACGTGTCAAGCGCTCAAACGACCTCACCATCTTCTCTCGATCAACTCTCTCTCTCTCTATCTCGATCATCTCTCTCTCTCTCAATCGACGAAAGACAATTTTTTCTCCACCGTTGTCGTTCAACGGTGACGTCTCCGTCGGTATCTCTCATCAGAGAAAGGCGATTTCGTCGAAAGCGGAGGATCAGTAACACCGGCACCGAAGAAGAGAGGCCAAAAACCTAAAATCAAGGATGAATCTCAGACTCTGTTGATGAAAGAGAGCAGCAGCGGGAAGAAGACGAAGCAGGAAGAGCAGAGTGTGGACGAGAAGTACACTCAGTTATTATCTTGTGGTTACTTTGATTTATACTCTCTTTTATAGTTTCGATGCTCTAATTTATCAAGAAGAAGCACCTAATTTTGGTTTTGGAGAATTCAATTCCAGCCATGCCTTCTCTCCAGCTTTTACAGTTAACTGAGCGTGGACGTGGTCTTGTAGCTTCAAGACGGTAAGAATTGCTTTACTCTGAATTTGTACTTAGATAAAAAAATTACTGCTTTGCTTATTCTTGTGATGTTCTTGGGGATGAGCTCTCATACTATTTTGCTTGCGGCTGAGATTGTAGCTGTGGGTGGAGCTGCTGTTTACTTGAAATCAAGGATCAGCTCCAGGAGCCTTGGTTCTTCGCGTCATTGCAATGGTCATAGTGATGAGGATGATGAGGCATTGGAAAAGATTACAGGAATAAGAAAACCGCGAAAAAGAAGAAAGGAGGAGGATTGAAGTCTCTTCAAAGTTTGATAAAGGGTGAACAAAGTTTTCAATTATGAGGAAAAATATCGTGTTCTTGGTTTCCTTTGGTAAATTTGTTGTTTGTGCTTTTCACAGATGGGGTCTGCAGCTTGACCAAGCAACCTACAAGAACTGCCAGCATCTGTATCTCTCTGAACAAGTAGGTTCTTCACTTCTACTGTCTATTAACATTACAGACATTTGTCTCAAGATCTCAGAATATTTGTTTGTCTCATCAAATTTGTATCTTTAATTTTTTTTTTGCTTGGTTGTATCATTAGACTGATGGCAGTGTCGTTAGACTGATCTCAGAAGAAGCACGTTCTTTATTTGTGAAGAAGTACAAGACCATCATTCACATAGAGAGGTTTGAACTCTTGTATCAATATTGTTTAAATCAGTGCATCTATTTTGTTTGTTTGAGACTTTGATGCTAGTAAAAACTTTAAGAACCTTAAAATAAGAACTTCCCATTGAAGCTAAAAAATTAGGTGTCTCTTAAGTATAAACTCTTAACAATTATTAATTCTTAAAAATCATTAAGAGCTCAAATTTGTCTCTAAGGGTTAATGATGCTCTTACAAGAAAATAAAAGATTGACTGCCTAAAACCCTCTATAAATACAACAACCCTATCTATTTCCACCTATACTATTTATCTCTTGAGAAAACCACCCAGAATTTATATTCTCTTCATATATCTCCCCATTCTTTTTAGCTCTTCCTAGATCCCCATCTCTAATCAGATCCGAAAACACAATTAAAAATTGATAAATCGCGTTTTGTGAATAGATTATCCACTAATCATGACCGACCCGGACCTTACAAAACAGGCCGACTTAACTTTAAAACCAAAATCAATCTGCGGGAAACTCAAAATTAGGGCTCATGTGTTTTCAGGTCTCGACACAGAGTCGATTAGGAGAACAGAGGGACATGGAGAGAGATAGAGAAACGAGGGCGAAGAGTGAGAGGGACCACCGAGCAAGCTTGAGAGAGAGTTTGAGTTCGAGTTTGGGTTCAACGCGAAGAGGAGAGAGAGAGAGAGAGAGAGAGAGAGAGAGGAAGAAGAAGAAGAGAATGGAAGAGAGCAGAGAATACATGTTGCAGAGAAACGTAACGAAGAAGACGATGAACAGTAAAACTACGTACTGATCTTCTCAATAGCTCTTTACTCTATTTCCCTGTAATAGTACATATGATAGAGAGACAGCGACGAACGGTGCCATGGACGAAACAGAGACACAAAGAGACGTGTTTTGAGTTTATGCTCTCTTTATTTTGTATTTTCGGCTTTGCAATTCTCATAGACTTGGTGTTGTTTTGTGCTAAAGTCTTTAAAACCTGTTCTTTAGAGTTTAAGTTATTTATCTTCTAATGCATTAACAATAACTCAAATTTTAAACATAACAACACATTTACAAGTATATAACAAGGGGACAAAAATTATACTCATGTTTTAAAATTAGAAATCATTCAAAGTAGAGCTCTTGTTTTAAACATAAAGACAAACATAACCATCAAACTCATGTCTTAACCATTCCGTAGCAGAAGAAAAATAGTGTTCTTCTTAAGATCCTCTCTGTAATTGAGATTTGTTTCATTGTTGCTATGAGCGGTTTCTTTCTTCTAAGCTCATGTCACATGGAGAAATGGTTTGGCGTTTTGATGAACGTGTGATTCCACAGTTTTACTGTTCATCGTCTTCTTCGTTACGTTTCTCTGTAAAATGTACTCTCTGCTCACTTCCATTCTTCTTCTCCATCTTCTTCTTCTTCTCTGTCTCTCTCTCTCTGTCCTCGTGCATTGAAAACGAACCAGAGATCCCATAGAACTCGGTTATTCTTTCACTGGGACTCTCTCTCAAGCTTGCTCTGTCTTCCCTCTCACTCTTCACCTTCATTTCTCTCTCCTCTGTCCTTCTGTTATAGTCGTCTCTGTGTTAACAAGACCTGAAAACACAGGAACCCTAATTTGGAGTTTCCCCTAAATCGATTCCATTTTAAAATAAAGTCGGATCTGTTTTGTTGGGTCTATCATGATTAATGGATAATCTGTTCACAAACGCTATTTATTAACTTTTAAACACATTTTCGGATGATTAGAGATGGGGATCTGGGAAGAGTTAAAAAGTATGGAGAGATATACTAAGATAATTTAAACTTTAGGAGGTTTTCTCAAGAGATAGATAGTATAGGTGGGAATAGATAGGGTTGGTATATTTACAGGGGATTTTAGGCAGTTAACCCGAAAATAAATCCTTTGATATTTTTCATAGTTGATAAACTATAAAATGTTTTAAAAATGTTATTACAAGTCGGAGACTTTACAGTCTACACGATTGGAATATCAAAGGGTATATATTCTTGGAAAAATCAAAGGGAATTTCTATTCCTATTTCCAAGCTTTAAATTCACGAGGAATGGACTTCTAGAGATATTCGTTTAACGTTTTGAAACCTCTTCAGGTTCTTAACAACTACTTTTATATACATGCAGAAAAAGGCAAATCTTTACCAATATCTAAAGCCTTTTGTTCTCTCCTTTTTCTTCTCCTAATTACACTCGTTCTCCTAAGCAAGCCTCCAATGGCAACCAGTGCAAAGTTTAGCGTGAAACTTCTCATTGATCAGAAGAGAAACAAAGTCGTTTTGGCTGAGGCAGATCAGGGTTTCGTTGACGTGCTCATCAGTCTTTTGAGTCTCCCAATGGGTAAAATTGCTCGTTTCCTGGAGAATCATAAAGATTTGCCGACAGTCTTAGCTTGTTTTCAAAACCTTAACAGAAGCGTTACAGATATGGGCATCGAACATTTTGAGACTGAAGCTTGCAAGAGTATGTTACTGTCGTCTGTCTCCGAATATTTCTTATGCGATTCAATGTAGAAAGCTCAAGCTGAACATGGGTGATACTGATGCCACCAAGTTCTTTATATGCTCCAATTATTTTAGTGAGGATGATTCTTGCACTTGCCTCGATGAATACAGCAATTTTAGCACCTCAAGATGTAGATGTGGAAGTACGATGAGCACTATGGTTTCTGTATCAGAGGAAGATCAAGTTGGAGAAGAGATTGGAAATAGTGCAGATGGAGTGTTCGTCAAATGCAGATCCTCATTCATAGTGACTGATGATTTGAAAGTATCAGTTAACTCTATTGGTGTTATAATGAATGTTCTTAATGATCTAGGGTACCTTGGTTTTAGTGATCTGCAAGAAAGCCTACTTGACGTAGGGCTCGAAGAGGTACTCTTGGCTTCTTATCTTCCTTATTTTGCATCATTGTCGCTGATAAATAAACCTCTTTAACATCTGTTTCGTGTCTACATCTTAGGTGCTGACTCTTTTGGGATGCTTTTTCACTTCGGAGACTCCTTTAACATGCGCGTTCCTGAAGAAACATTGCATGACAAGGAATCTCAAAATGCTATCAGCGCATGTTCAAAACACTGTCGAACCATGCAGTGTGTTTTCTGTGAAAGTTTTTGTTAGAAAGTTTGATAAGGAGATTCTTTATGCCGAGTGCAATGCAGATTTTATCGATTATCTTCTCGGTTTTCTGATCTCGCCTCTTGAGTTGGTCTGCTCATTATCCAAACGTTTATTGTGTCTAATGATCTGATTATAAGTCCTATGAATTCATTTTCGACTGTTGGTTTGTTGAAGAAGATGCAGACCAACATCAGTGATCTCGAGGAGCATCAAATTAGCATTTCTGGCGCAGAGGTAAACATGGTTGTAGTGTTTAGCATTCTATTGTTTTCTGTTTATCCTTTTTATGTAATGGTTAAGGTTCTTGCTTCTATTACAGCTCATCAGCATTCTCAGAGCTTCTTTGGTCTCGTCCTCTGCATTGACCAATGGTCTCTCAAACTTGCTCATGAAGAAACCAAAGGAAGAAACTTGAATGCGATATGAAACACAAGCTGGAGAATAATGATGGAGTCGTCTCTGTTTCTTAGGATCATGTCTTGCATCTTTTATACTTGGGCATTATTTGTTCCAAGCTTCACTTTCTGTTATTATGTTTTCACTATGACTTTTTATTTATCTATCTTTTATATTAAAAT